AAAAAAAAAGTATAATTTTGAAAAATACCGTGATATAAATTTTTGGTCATACCGCCCAGCACTACTATACGCCTTTGAAACTTGCAATGAATCAAAGGAACATTGATCTTCAAATGATTAATTTTAAAACATTATAGGCACAAATCCCATGTTTCTATAGGGAGAACTAATACATTTATTTGATCAAAATACAAAAACGCACACAATGAATGGCGACTGTAGAAAGCAAAAGCCGAATCCCGGTCATTTTGGGCGATTTAGAATTTCCACAGGTCCAAAAAGAGGACATGTCCGGGGAAAAGAGTATATGGTCACCCTAATAAACAGTTTTTTTTTTCCCCCCTCCACACATGACTGAGATTGAACAAGATGGCTGTTTGTCTATGTTAGTAACCCTTATTTTTGTTCGATGTGCTGTTTTATATATGTTTTGTCGTTTTAAAGGGGTCATTGTAACACTCCAAAGAGAAAGGAAAAATTTAAATCGCATCATATGACCCCTTTAAATAAATAATATTTTTTTCTTGTTGATCTCGCCGCGCTGCGATGACGTCATCACTAGCGCGCGTTGTTTACTCGGTGTTGACTTCTGAGGCGAGGTGAGCAGTTGGTGGTGTTTCGCTATATTCAAAGTATTAGTAAAATACTTTTTACACAGTTTGTTCATGAAACAATATGCGAGGTCTTTTCTGTCTTGTTTTCATCGAGTACAGCGCGGTTTGTGTGTTTGCGGACTTAAACACTCAGAACAACAGGCAACACGCATGTGAGGAAAACACGCTCAATTCTTTAAGACCCGAGTGCTTTTGTGTTTGTGTGAATAATTGTTTCGATGTTTGGAGTGATAATGTTGCTGTTACTGAATGTCTCGTGATCTGTGAGAGGGATGCGAGTTGCTGCTGCGATTTTATTTAAAACGATATTTTGAGATTTATCGTTACGTTTTGAGGTTTATCTTGGCACATCCAATTTGATATAGTTATTTAACATGGTTAAAATTAAGAACAGGCACCGCTAAATACTTAATAGTGAGTAACTTGGGACATTTTAAATCTATAATATGAACAGATTTATCATATTTCTGTTTAAAGAAGATTTTATGATCACTGTCAGTTTCTGCACATAAAACTATAACATGTTAATAATTTAATTACTTTTATTGCTATGAATGTTTTTATTAGAAAATCAAACTATGGTTAGATATTGTGTGCCTCTAGTGTAGTTATAGTTGTTCATGAAGATGGGAGTCATCAAATTCTGCTTTTTTAATTCTTATTGTTATTTATATTCAGAAGAAATTACGTTATATTCCTTTCAATATTTCTAGACCGTTATATTTTAATACAGGAGGCAAAATTATATATAAATAATGTGTTTTATACATTCTCGTCTGTGAAATGCGCCACTTCCGGTATTTTGCCGGTTAGTCGACGTGAGCAAAATGAAGTTGAGGATTTAAAAAAATCGAATAGTCGAATAAAATCGACGAATTGCGACAGCCCTACTTTTAATAGTAATATAATGATTTACAAAGAGGCGACACTTTGTATTTGTTAGGCTCTGGTCTCTCCAAAGATTCAAAGAATTCCTCACTCTTAAAAAAGAATTTAAATAAAAAACCTCAGTAACTGATTTACAGCTGATTTTGACAAATTTGCTTCTTCCACACAGAAGTTCAGTGACGCTGCTCCCACAAACCCTGCAGAATGAACTGCTCTGAAGATACTGAAGAACAAAAAGGTTGGTTTTTATTCTTAATGCTTCTTTAATAATGCTGAAGGTTATAAAGCTTCAAGCTGTTTTAGATTTAGATATATTTTAACAGGAAAAATCTGTAATGAAATAGCATTTTCGCTATTCACAGACCAGAAAAGAGATCTCTCTTGCACTTTAGGGCTGTGTGATTAATCTAACTTCATTTTCGAATTCGGTTTTGGCTTCTAAGGATTTTGAAAACAATATGTTTGAGGTAAGATGATTATTGTACCACATTCTGTCTAGCGAACCTTCCTTTCCTTCACATGCACTTTCATTCCTTCCTAAAAGTCCAAACTTAACATCCACATCAGTGATTGTTGTAAAAAGCAGTCTACTGTTATTAAACTGCTGGACGTGTTTGATAATGAGAAAGTTATTAAAACTGCATTAAGTTGTGAAAGAGATACCGTTCCCCAGGCAGACTTCTGTGTGCTCCGAGACGGAACAGTCATTTATGTTAAGTGGATGTAAACAGTTGGGAGAAAATCTGATGTGTCAGCATACTGGATCCATACTTTAGTTCTTAAAGTGACAGCAGCCTAATAAACCTGCAGCTGTCCGTGTCATTAATGATAATTAAGCAACAAATGAAAAAGAAAAACATCACTCTCTGCTCTTGACTGAATGATTTTAGTAGCTTTAATAAGCGTTAATCCATAAGTTTATACAGTGAAGACTATACAGTGTAATTAGCCTACAAGTGAAGACACAAAATATCAGGATGAATTGAAATCTGCAAAGAACGAGTTTATTAAAGTGGACATAACATGCACATCACTACAAAAGTTCAGAAACACAAAGCACTAAAACTCTACATAAAGTGCATTTTTTTGTGTTTAGTGCAAACAGTACAAGACAGTAGAGCGGAACGATTCTGGATAAATTGAGAATCATGATTTTTTTTGTCTCAAATATAGATCACGATTCTCCCACGATTCTGAACTAAACAAAATAATGTGTGACAAAATATTATTGCTGTAGACTATTTAAAAGTGTCTAATTAATTTGAATGAGTTTTGGCTTCTAAGGATTTTGAAAACAATATGTTTGAGGTAAGATGATTATTGTACCACATTCTGTCTAGCGAACCTTCCTTTCCTTCACATGCACTTTCATTCCTTCCTAAAAGTCCAAACTTAACATCCACATCAGTGATTGTTGTAAAAAGCAGTCTACTGTTATTAAACTGCTGGACGTGTTTGATAATGAGAAAGTTATTAAAACTGCATTAAGTTGTGAAAGAGATACCGTTCCCCAGGCAGACTTCTGTGTTCATACACAATGGTAATTCAAAGTGTTTTACATAAAAGGTATTAAAATAATCATAAAAAATAATCACAACAATAAAAACAAGGAAATTAAAAACTTTTTAAATGATTTAAAAATTGATTTGTGTCTAGACATGAAGATGTGTATATATATATATATATATATATATACAGCTACATGATAGTAAACTAGGCCAAAGTACAAAAAAAAAGTTAAACATTCAATGTGATGGATATATTATATGAAGGTGTATGTATCATGTAATGGCCAAATAGTTATTTTAAAGTAGGCTATATACCTCTGTATTTGATTATTCTTTCTTACCAAGTTCTTAAAAATCAACCACAACAATGCACATACAATTACAGATGATTAAGCATATAAATCGTCAGTTTGTTGTTAACACGCATGCATTCAGACTTGTGAGATGCATAAGAAATCTTTAGATGTGTAACATAAACCATAATCCATAACAACAAAATACAATACTTTATTTAAACTTTTCCGATAAGAAGTGTGCGCTGCAAACGCAAGCATTTTTGACGATCATTTCTGTCTAGGCCGCTCATTTTATCGCGTTTAACATATATATACAGCTACATGATAGTAAACTAGGCCAAAGTACAAAAAAAAAGTTAAACATTCAATGTGATGGATATATTATATGAAGGTGTATGTATCATGTAATGGCCAAATAGTTATTTTAAAGTAGGCTATATACCTCTGTATTTTATTATTCTTTCTTACCAAGTTCTTAAAAATCAACCACAACAATGCACATACAATTACAGATGATTAAGCATATAAATCGTCAGTTTGTTGTTAACACGCATGCATTCAGACTTGTGAGATGCATAAGAAATCTTTAGATGTGTAACATAAACCATAATCCATAACAACAAAATACAATACTTTATTTAAACTTTTCCGATAAGAAGTGTGCGCTGCAAACGCAAGCATTTTTGACGATCATTTCTGTCCAGGCCGCTCATTTTATCGCGTTTAACCACAGCTGTCGTCGGTTTTTTTGTCTGGCAGTGGCAGCAGGTATGTGATAAAATTTCAGATTGGAGCCTGTACTATGTCAATTCTGGCGCCCAACATCACAAGATGATATTTTAAGATCCTTATGTAGCCGAATCTGTGCTGGTTTGAATTGGCCGCCTCCAGTTTTCCCTTTGTTTTGCCTCCAGCTAGTGCTGTGACGTAATCGTGACGTTGGCACAAAAAGGGTCTATACACCAATTTTTAATATTAAAATTATGAAAACGTGGTTTGAATGAATGATTCAATGACTCATAAATACTTCACTTGTTTCATTACTGGATGAATCAGAGTTTTTGAACGAATGTCACTGGT